AAGGCGCGCGTCGTGCCGGGCCAGAGCCGGCTGTCACGCTGCAGCTGCATGTGGACGACTGCGCCAACCAGCGGGTGATCAAGCGTGACCTGCTCCCGCGCGCCCTTCTGGCAAGAAGTCTTGGTCCAGGGCAGCGACACCGCGCCTCGGCCACAGGGCTTCAGAAAGATGACGCCGCCGCTCAGCCCCAAAGCCTCGCCAGTGCGGAGACAGAGGTGGAAGGCCACAAGCAGCACGGCCGCAAAGGCCACCTCTCCGCGGCTGAGCGCCCAACCGGCGAGCGCCGTGCAGACCTGGGCAGGCATCGGCGGCGCGCGCTGAGGGATCTCCAGTTTCCCCCAGACCGTCGGCAGCTGCCAAGCTCCAGGATAGCGGCGCCGTGTCCTTAGCAGGTGCTGCACGCCGCTGAGGGTGTCATTAGCTTCTCCTTTTGCGGCCCCCTCGGCCCATAAGTGTTCAAGGTAATCTTGCAGGCAGATGTCAATATCGTCCCAGGCGAACGGCAGCGGCAGGTTATTGGCAGCAAGGTAGTCAACAAAACGCTGAGCTGCGCCACGGTAGCGGGCCAGTGTCGAGGCCTTTATCCTGGCGTCTCTCAGCTTCCCCAGTCCAGCTCTGGCGGCGCGGCGGTCAGCAGGGCTACTCCGCTTCCACATCGCGGAGGCGCGAGGGGGCGTCCGCGGGGTTGCGGGCCGACGACGTGAAGCCGAAGACCGCCCGCGCGCCCATCGCAAGCTCCCACGCCGAGAAGGTCCGCACCACCTTATTGAGCTGAGGACTGCTGGAGCGGCGCTTGGACAGCGCACCGAAGTTGACCATGCTGTCGAGCAGGTGCAGGAAGACGCACTGGTGGCGGCGCACCGACCGCGCCCGCCAACGAATCATCATCAGCGCGCCCTGGCACTCAAGAACGTTGATGTGCTCCGCTGCATCCCACACTAGCTGCCTTGCCTTGCGCCACTGCCAAATACCTGAGTCGATCTCCTGCCGCGGGAAGATCTTGCCGAGCGCCTCCGAGGCGCCATCGGTCCTGATGTCTGCTCCGTTGTTGTGGCACGCCATGACGAGCCCCATGACGATGCGTCTGGACGTGTCCAACTCGCGCCACTCCACCACGTCACGCTTCGCCAACTCCGCCAAGAGGATGTCCGCATGGCACGCCTGGCCGGGCCCACAGTGGCAGACCAGCAGGGCCCCGCGCAGCGTCTCCAAGCTCTGCAGGAGGGCCGGCTGCGTGCGGATCCAGCCCGCGAACAGGGCAACTGCGTCCTCGCGTGACCGCTCGGGGCTGATCGTGAAGGGGTTGCCCCACCGCGAGGCAGCCAGGCCCCACCGGCGAGACCCACGACCCACGTAGATGGGGCCGCCAGCCTGGTCCAGCTTGGCGTGCAGGTCCTCGTCGATCTCGGAGCGACCGCACCGCAGCGACGTCACATCGCCGGCCCACAGCTTCCTGCCACCAGCCCAGGCTCGCGCACTCTCGTGCAGCTCACCTAGCGAGGGCACTGAGACCAGCAGCCCAGCTCCGACGGCCCAGTGGCTGATGATCCAGGCCGCCACTTCGCACTGGAATGAGATGCCCACGAGCGACCGCCGAAGCGCCTCGTACTTGGCGGGCTCGGCCTTCGCCTCGCTGCTCGTCATGCACGGCACGGTGTGGCCCTCCGGAAAGGCCATCAACTTCTCCCGCATGGTCGCGTCAGGCGGCTCCACGCGGCCGTCCGACCGATGGATGCACCACTTGTCACGGAACTGGTAGGGCGGCGAAGCGAAGCCCGCCGCCTCCCAGCGCGCCAGCTCAGCAGCGCTGCACTCCCCGATGCCCGCAGGCCTGGGGCGTGGCTGCGAGCGCGGCGTCCAGCGCACGAAGGTCGGCAGCGGCTCCCCCGCAGCGGGACCTGGACACACAGCCCCGGCCGGGAGCCACTCCTCGAGCGGCGGCCGCTCCGTCTTCAGCGCTACCTTGCAGGCGCGCCGCACGTCCTGGGTCTTGGCCCGCACCACGACCGGCTCAGCCTCGAAGGGCGGCAGGAGGTCCCACGAGGCCCAGTAGAGCCGCGGACGTCTGACCCAGCCGACATCGCCAGCCTCGATCTCCAGCGGGACGCGGCCGAAGAGCTGGTTCAGGCGCAGCACGTCGCACTTGGGCATCGACGCGACGTTCTCCCCGAGGAAGTCGATTGACGCCTCAGGCATGGCCGTTCGCAGCCCGTCCACGATCCGCACCATGTGGTCAACCAGGCCCGCGCGCGGGTCGCCGAAGCCCTGCCGAGCGACGTTGAGACCCGCGAAGACCTGGCACGGGAAGCCGCCCACCACCAGCACTCGCGACACGCGGCCTCGGGCGCGCAGCAGGGCTGCCAGGGCCACCGGGTCCGCTTCCGTCACGTCCCCCAAGTGCTGCGTGCTGGGGTAGCTGCGCCGGGCCACGCGCACCGCCGTGGGGTCAACCTCGAACGACAGGTGCACGGCAGGGACCAGTCCGAGGATCTCGAAAGCCCGGCGCCCGCCGCCGATCCCGTCGAAGACAGTCACGAGGCCGGTTTCCTCCTCGCAGGCGGCGTTCGCGGGCCGCTGCCGCCTCTCGGCCAGCGCGCGCCCACGGTCGGAGAGGGCGTAGCCGTAGACCACGGCGCCAGCGGCCTCCGAGGCATCCGACGCGGTCACCAGGGGGTCGACCTCGAGGCGCAGGTCAGCGACGCAGAGCCCTGACAGCGCAAGGCACATCAAGAGGTCCTCGACCACGCTCACGCTGAAGCGGCCGCCAGTGCGCGGGTTCGCGAGCCACTTCCAGGTGTAGGCAAAGCTGGCCGCCAGCGGACGCCGAAAGCAGTGAACACGAACCCAGCGGCCCAGCAGAATGCGCACCAGCCGCATGCTGGCCCGCCTCTTGCTCAGCGTCCACAGCGCGAGGCTGGCCATCTCGGTCAGGTAGCCCGCAGGGGGCCGCCGAACGCCCTCGACCCCGTCGACGAGCTCCCCTAACGTCGTCGCCCGCGGCACCCGATGGATGTCCTTGGACGACGACCCCGGGGAGCCTGCAGCCGCGTAGCAGGCGCGAGCCTCGGAGATGAGCTCGGGCACCGCCCCTCGCAGCGTCGCGGCCTCGGACTTGCTCACGACCTCCGCGACCTCCAGGTTGTCAATGTAGACCATCCACGCCGGAGGGCACGGCTTCTCCACGCTGAACGGCAGGCGTCGGCGCCGGGTGATCTCCTCGCTGGGCGGCAGGCCGCGAGGGACAGAGGCGCTCCGCCGCAGCATGTTCCGGTGGAGGTGGGTCGTCGCGCCCACGGCACTGATCCAGCCCATGCCGATCACCCGCAAGCAGATGTGCGTGGTCCCGCCGTCCTTCAGGCCGAGCAACTCCGAGGGGGCGGGCGGGCCTATCACCATGTAAGGCCACCACGCAGGCGGCGCGCGGAAGACGTAGAAGAAGGCCTTCCTGTCCGCGCCGCTCCACAGCAGGTCCTCCGACTCGGTCAGCACCAGGCCGTTCAGCTGGCTCATGGTCGGCATCTCAGGGGTGTCTCCCACGATGCACTCCTGGCACGCGTTCGACGGGATAAGGTTGGTGATCAGCCTCAGGACCGGCCTGCGCTCGCCGTCGCTGCAGACCACGGGCTCGTCGTGAGGCTTGGGCACCCCGAAAGCCCCGTTCAGGAGCGGGGCCCCGTCGCGACAGGCGATCTTGCTGCTCGGGATCGCCGCCGCCATCCCGCGCTCGTGGAGCGCCCGCACGATCCGATGCCACTCCTCGAGCGAGGCCCACACGCGCGCAGACGTCGGCGCGGGCCGCCGTAGGGCAGCGGGCAGCAGCACCAGCGTCGGGTCCAGGAGGGCCTCACGCACGAACCCCGCCGCGAGGTCGGCCGCCTCGATGCCGCGACGCCCGGCGGCGGCAGCCCGTCCAGCACCTGCTCCAGCGTCAGCCGATGCGGCGCCGAGATCTCGCCCCCGCCGCAGCCGATCCTGCGATCCTTCAGGCGCACGTTCCAGTCAAGATCTGGCGGCAAAGCCGACTCGGCCCGCGTAGCCAAGAGGAGGCGGCGGCCGAGAGCGGCCAGGGCTGCCTGCTGCGCGGCGTTGGCCCGACCTCGGCAGGGCCTGGCCAGCTTCAGGGAGCGGAACCCAGCCTCCCAGTTCAGCGCCAGGACAGTGACCACCAGCCTGCAGCGTAGTCCTTCCCACTCCTTGTCGCTCAAGGGGTCCTCGCCCTGCTGGGCGATCTGGGACCTGGTGATAGAAGGGTATGGTAACGGCAACAGATCTCGCTGAAGCCGACCTCCCGTGTCGGCCGGATGCTCGCGTGGCTTTACCTCGAGGAATATCTAGTGAAGCGACCGAAGGAGCCTGGGAACTGGCGGACTACGTTCAACAGCACGGGGCCCACGTCGAAAGGCTCTCGCAGAAGATCACTCGCCGCGCCAGTCCACTCGCGCCACTCTGCCAGCGGATCCGCGCCGTCACAGCCGGCATCCGTGCTGCAGGCCGGCGGGCGCGACGAGGACGCTGGGCGGCGCGCGGCGGCAGCACCGCCACGGTCAGGAGCCAACCTCGGAGGCGGCGAGCGCGACGGTGAAGTCCAGGGCGGTCTGCGCGAGCGGGCAACCTCGGCAAACTCGGTCACGCCCGCGCGCGCATCATCAGCGCTGGCACCATCAGCTCGCTGCCTCACCTCAGTGTCGCAGGAAGGCCGCCTCGGCCTCGGCCCCGGTGCTTCCTGCCGCCACGGCGGCGGCCGCTCGGGGGGGCCGGGCCTCGAGGGGGACCTTGCTGCGGCCCCGCTGCCGCCGCAGCCGCGGGCTGGTCCTGCCTGAAGACGTGGCGCTCCGGGCTCGTCGCCAGCGAGACGCGCCTCGGCTCGCCCGTCGCCCTCGGGTGCGGGCTGTCGCCTCGAGGCGTCCTCAGCGCCCCTGGTGACGGCGACCTGCCCGCGCTGCCTGAGCGCGCTGCGCCTGGAGGGCCCGCGGGCGGGGCTGCGGCTGCGGGCCCTGCCCGGGGCCGAGCTGGGCTCCCCGCGCGCAGGGGGAAGAAGCGGCCTCGGCCGCGCCCGCGGCTCCTCCCGCGACCGCGGCCCTGCTGGCGGCTCGGCGAGGGCGAGTGGGCTCCGCCGCTCCCGCGCCTCGCCTCCTCGGGTCAGGCTTGACGCTCGCCCTGACCCCTGCCGCCGAGCCCGCCGCGGCTCTTCGCGCCCAGCAGCCTCCTGCGCAGCATCGCCGCTCGCCGCGCCAGGTCCTGCTCGCCCATCGAGGCCAGCGATGGACGCGCGTCTGGCACGATCTCCAGCTCGCTCGCCACCTGCCAGCTCGCGTCGGACAGCGACAGCTCCAGAGCTTTGAAGCGCTGCATCAACACGTCGCTCAACTCCGCCAGGCATCCACTCCCCAGCAAGTCCAGCGCGGTCGCCAGGGTCTGCAGCTCCCGCTGAGTGTTGACGCGCATCTGCCCCGGAGGGTGATGGCCGAACACCACGGCCTGCAAGTATCCCACGACCTTCGCCCGAATCTCTGAGCCGTCCGCCCCTCCCGCAGACCCATGACGCGCTCGATGTTCTTCATCGCCTCGTCGTACAGGGCACCTGGGCGCTTCTCCGCCAGCAGCCGTCCGCTGCCGCCGCGGGAGGGGGCCTCGCGAAAACGCGACTCACCGTCGTCGTCGCTGCGCGAGCCCGAGGAGCTCCGGGGGCGGCGTCGGCCGCGACCGCCAGCGGCGCGGCCAGGCGTCGCCGCTGCAGCCTGCGCGCGCGCCGCGGCAGCTGCCGCCAGGCGGTCGGGGGCTGGGCCCCCGACTGGGGCGGCGCCCGCCAAGGCCCCGCCGCCGCCGCGCCCACCGAAGGCGCTCGGCCGCACCCATGGCTCCACGAACCCGCGGTTCAAGCGCAGCCGCAGCCACTCGACGTGCAGGACTCCTCGACCTGGCAGGGCGGGCTCCCCGCAGAGCGCCGGACCCTGCCCGCACAAGTGCAGGAGGCCCGCTGGCCCGGCGCCGCGCGGCGGGAACAGGCCATCCAGCCGCATCGCCTCGGCCGCCAGCGACGCCCCCCTGAACTGGGCGCTCAGGTACTGCCCAGAGGGGCCCGTGGTCCCGATCTCCTCTACCTCGAACAAGGCGGTCCCGCTGATCCCTCCAGCCGCGTCGAAGGTCGGGAGCTCGAGATTCACACCTCGCCGCCAGTCGGCACCAATCAGGGTCACGGCCTGACGCCACGGACCGTCCACGAGAGGTCCCAGCTGCGCGCCGCCCGCCGGGACGATCGGCCCGCCTGCCACCGCGATCGGCACTCCAGGGATCGCCGGGGCTCCAGGCACCGCACCAGGAGGAGGGCCACCAAGGGGGTCGCCGCCGCCGCCCGCGAGCGCGCCCACCAGCGCGGCTCCCACGCCGCCGGGGGGAGCGCCTCCGCCGCCAGGCACGGCGCCGCCCGCGGGGGGCGCGCCAGCAGCCGCGCCGCCTCCGACCTTCGGCAGGCCGGGCAGCGCCGCCAGGCCAGGCACCACGGGCGCGCCGGCACCGCCGCCCGCGGGCGCGGCCGCCGCAGCGCCGCCGACCGCCGCGGCCGCCGCCAGGCCCGGGGCAACCGGCGGGAAGGCGGCGGCGCCTCCGCCTCTCCCCGCGGCTCCTCGCCCGAGGCCGCCGGCGCCGCGCCCTCGGCCGCGGCCGCGCCCTCGGCCCAAGGCCTTCGCCTTCGCCTTAGCCTTGGCCTTGCCCTTGGCGACGGCCTTCGCCTTCGGCGCCATCGAGCCCCAGGCCGGCGAACGCGGAGAGCAGAGCGCCCAGGAGCCGGGCGGACTCGAGCAGCGCCGCCCTCTCCTCCACGCTGAGGCGGGCGCGCCACGCCGCCTGCCGGATCAGCCCGATGATGTAGCACAGCTCGCAGACCTCCAGGAGGGCTCCGCCCTCGGCCAGGGCCAGCGACTCCCCTCGCCCGAGGGGTCCTGCGCACCAGCCGCAGTAACGCACGGGCGGCGGGCGCGGCACGGTGGCCCCCGGGGCGGCCATGCCCTCCTTGGAGGGCGCGGAACTAAGCCAGAACAGCTGCCATGCAAGCGAATGCGGCCGATGTGACACGCTACCCCCCTGACGCCCACACATCTACCGTAAACGTATACATACACACACCTATAATTAGACCACTCTATCTATCGATCGACCTAGAAGATGTATCAATCAAACAGTTAATGAACCACCGGGAACAATCGGGACAACCATCGGGACAACCATCAGGACAACCATCAGAACAGCAATCGGGACAACCGTCCGGGCAACAATCGCACAACCATCGGGACAACCATCGGGACAACCATCGGGACAACCATCGGGACAACCATCGGGACAACCATCGGGGCAACCAGCGGGACAACGATCGGGACAACCATCAGAACAGCAATCGGGACAACTATCGGGACAACCATCGGGGCAACCATCGGGACAACCATCGGGACAACCATCGGGATAACCATCGGGACAACCATCGGGGCAACCATCAGGACAACCATCGGGACAACCATCGGGACAACCATCGGGACAAACATCGGGACAAACATCGGGACAACCATCGAGGCAACCATCAGGACAACCATCGGGACAACCATCGGAACAACCATCGGGACAACCATCGGGACATCGGGTCAACCATCGGGACAACCATCGGGGCAGCCAGCGGGACAACCATCAGGACAACCATCGGGGCAACAATGGGGACAATTATCAGGACAACCATCGGGACAACCGCCGTGACAACTGGGAGCCACGCCCAGCGCTCGGGAGGGGGGTGAGGCGGCCCTTGTGGCAATAGATGGCCCCTACCAGTGCAGGAACTCGCGCAGCTTCGCCTCTTCCGCACGCATGACACGAAGGTCACTTCCGTTCTAACCCCCCAACCTCCGACGATAGCCCTGCCACACGCTCCTGACCTGGGAAAGTTGAAATGGTGAGAATCTCATATATGCATGCAACACGTGCGTGACTGGGGAAAGCTGGAATGGTGAGAATCCCATAGCCGTGCCACACGTTCGTGATAACGTTGCTACTCAGCATAAGAAGATACGAATCGCAACTTCGGGTCGTACCTCTCCCCCGCGATGATGACGTTCGGCCTCGCCGCCTGTCTCCCCAGACCAACTCTGCCTTGGCCGGGGATAATCAAGTTTCAGGGGTGATAAAGGGGGTATGATTTATTCTGGGAGCGGCCAAGAGGGGGGTGTCCAAGAGGGGGGGGTGCAAATCATGACCCGCGGCATGTGCGCGGCCCAACGGGGGGGCCAGGGACGTAATGAAATAAGAAGAGGCGCCATGAAATCTGGGGAAATATCATGGCCCCCACCATGATATCCACCCCCCCTAGTCATCACCCCCCTCTTTTCCGCCCCCGATTATTATCCGTGGTGCTCGTGTATTTCGTTCGGTGCATCGGGCGCTCCATGCTTCCGAACCTGTGCCGTGCCGAGAGCATCGTCTCCGGAGCTCGGCGTGCTCGGGGGCTCTCAGATGCGTCAGATGCCCTCTCCTGCGCGTGGGAAACATCGCGCCTCGCTCACGCGACGGCTGCTGAACGGCCAACTGACCTCGACCCGGCTCGCGCCGGTTTCGGGACAGCCGGTTCAGCCGTGCCCTTTCTGCGGCATTGGATACGGCGATTGTGCAAGGCATTGGGGTGAGTGCGGCGTCTTACTTTCTGTTCGCAGGAGGCTCGCCCCAGAGTGCGCGCAACTGACTGTTGGCCAGCTCTGGCTGCAGGAGGATGTTGCCAGCGGAGGGGAGCTGCAAAGCGTCTTTGCGTACACGAGCGCGGTGATGCGACATCGCAGACTCTGCGAAGATACCTAATCCCCCGCAGCTGCGGTTAAGAGAGAGGGTGATTGGCGGCGCTCTTAGAAGCAAAGACGCGCTCGCTGCTAGCGGGATTTGAACCGAAACCTCTACGGACACACCGCCCCTCTTCGGTGAGCCCCAAAACGTACCAGCGCGGCCCCCCATCGTGGCCTCCCAGCGTGGCCTCCCAGCGTGGGAGGTCCCCCAGCATGGCCCCCCAGCGTGGCCTCCCAGCGTGACCTCCCAGCGTGGCCTCCCAGCGTTGCCTCCAAGCGCGGCCGCCGGAGAGACAACCCCAAGACGGACGAACGCGAGCAGGGACAGAGTAAGACCGCTCGGGCACCCTATCTCAGATGATACGCCACGCTCGGCACCTGAGCGATGACCCGTGGATTACGGGGTCCCCAATTGAGAATACGCGCACCGAGCGGCGTGCCCTGCGTGCGAGACCTCCCACCTGCGCTGATTGGTGGGTCGTGTACGCGTCGGACGGAGCGAGCCGGCGTCAAGGCACAGCAGAGGCGAGCTCATCTTCATTCGATTGTGTTCGTTACACCAAAGGCTGCCAGCGCGTCATGGCCTCCAGCGGTACGCAACTTGGCCACGTCACAACCAACGCTGCGGCGAACACGGGCCTGTTGGAAATCTGCAACATGTTTTTTGTTATAGCCTATAGCCTTCCGAGCACATTCGGTTTCACGTCCACTCATTTTGGCTTGCTCGGCAAGTCAACTGCCAGTAGCGGTGTCGAGCGCCTTCGTTGCGGCCGCTTTTTGAAACAGCGCTTCGGAGACTGCGAGAACTGCGCCGAATGCCTGTCGCGTGCGCGTGGGATGTCATCCACGTTTACCGAGAATGTAACGTTGATGCCGACGCTGTGCGCAACACTGTTTTGGATGCGGTCGCTGACTGTATCGTGCCAAACAAAATGGGCTTTTGACCTGTTCACCACCTCGAGGACGTATTCCGTGACATGTTCATTCTGCCGCTGTAGAGTGTGCATCGCCCAGAAAATCACTGGCCCATGTCGTTGCTGTAGAAAGACAAAGAGCCCTGCCTCAACCTAGTCTGCCGACGTCCGACTTGTCAAAAGCGTGAGGCTCCACAGATCTCCACACAAACTTCATTCCCGGGGAGCTGGCAGGGTCTTTCGGATGCCCGAGCACCCCCCCTCACACCAGAAGAATGTACCCATACTGCACGTCTGGCAAGCATCTTATGTGAGAGCCCGCAGCCGCTGCCGAAGGAAATAGGAGCAGCAAACACCGTACACTAGCAAATGGCAAGACGCGCCTGCCCCTGTACCAGTGTGCCTGCCTTCTTGCCGTTGGCACCGTTGGCCTGCCCAACCCAACTCTGATGCTGCTGCTCAACACCAGTCCTAAGGAGGCAACTCCTGGTAAGCATTCGTGGAAACAACTAGAAACTAGAGGCCATTAGGCCCGACGAGTGGCCATTAGGCCAGAAGAGGCCACCTATTGAGCGGGCTTGGGCAAGTATCAACGAAAGCATGCCAGAGTAGGCTGGCATCGCGTAGGGAACATAGAGGGGCGGATGCTGAGCTGAAACTCCCAAGAGTTGCAAACTAGCGAAGTGGAGGACTACGGCTGGCAATACCTCAGACTGCACTGGCCCAAAGCGGGCATTCTTCATGCGTCGCCTTCATGCCCTACGCTTCTCTTCCATTCGCTGCTTAGACATGCGCCGTTGGGTGCCAGGTCCGTCAGGTGTCAAGCGCCAGCGGGTGGCGCTCAATCACGTTCGCGTGAAAACGATGCTGCTGCTGCTGGTTAGCTCCACCACGCTGCATGCGGCAGGAAGATGAAAACAACGAAACAACACATCGGCCCCAGGGCCCAAATGGGAGAACAGAAAGGTACCGACACCGCTACTCCCTGCGAGATGCTTAAGGAATCATGGGTTAAGAAATTCATAGTCTCAGAACTTGAATGAAAACCCAGAATGTCCATCAAAATCTTGGGATGTACATTGAAAAACTAAGAATAATCGAGACTCTGGACGAAAACTTGGGTTTTCTTAAGCATCGCCTAAAGTGTACTCCCTGGACCTCTCCGGAGGTGCGTCCTGACCCCGGATAAATCGACGCGCACCCGGCGCGTGGCGACGAAGGCCTCCCCGGAGGCCCAAACACACGCCCGAGCTATGGAGATGGCAGCGGTTATCGGCACCTCTCCCTCCTCTGACCAGCACCCGTCGGTCGGGAGAAGTCTGGGTAGTCGAAGCCAATCTGGCGCCAATCTGGCAGGCCCAATCTGGCAAACGGGGGCAATCTGGCTAGGGAGCCAACGCGAATCCAGTCTGGCGAATAACCCAAATCATCCAGTTTGGCCGGGCCAGGTTGGCCCTTGGGGCCCAATCCAATCTGACAGTCTGGCCTTCGACTACCCAGGAAGTGGGCAGCAAGATGAGGTAGGAAGGCGCCTGAAGTGGATTGAAGACCTGGGCACCCCCAAATGCCTGCGTCCAACGGCCCGACGGGTGAGTCTTCCCCTCCCCCCCTCCCCAGACACCGCCAGGCCGCCGAGGGACGCCGAAGGCTCCCGAGCGCCCCCGACGGCCAGCGAGGGCCGCGGGCGCCGAGGGCCGCCGCAGGCCGTCTGGCCGACGGCGGAGGCGAACTGCCCGCGCAGGGGGCCGCCGCTGCTCGAGCCGCCGCCGAGGGCCGCCGAGAGGCCCCCGAGGGCGACGGCCGGCGAGGGCCGCGGGGCCGCCGAAGGCCGCCGCCGAGGGGCCCCCGAGGGAGGGCCTCCGAGGGCCGCCGAGGGCCTCCGAGGGCCGCCGAAGGCCGCCGAGGGCCCACATCGCTTGGACGCCTATTTCCCCACATCCTGAGTGGGGTTCTTGTTTCCCCAGAACATCCTCTCCTCCTCCTCCTTCTCCTCCTCCTCCCGCTTCCTCCACCATCCCATACTGTATCATACCATACCAAAACCATGCCACTCCATACCATACCTTACCATACCATACCATGCATCCACCATCCCATACCATACCATGCCTTTCCTCACACCATGTTATTTATCAGGTTTCGTGCCCCTCCCACCCCTCCAGGGAGGCCCCGTCTGAGCGAGCAGGGTATTCGCACACCATGTTATTTATTAGGTTTCGTGCCCCTCCCACCCCTCCAGGGAGGCCCCGCCTGAGCGAGCAGGGTATTCGCACGCCATATTATTTATCAGGTTTCGTGCCCCTCCCACCCCTCCATGGAGGACCCGCCTGAGCGGGCAGGGTATTCGCACACCATGTTATTTATCAGGTTTCGTGCCCCTCCCACCCCTCCAGAGGGGCCCCGCCTGAGCGAGCAGGGTATTCGCACACCATGTTATTTATCAGGTTTCGTGCCCCTCCCACCCCTCCAGGGGGCCCCGCCTGAGCGAGCAGGGTATTCGCACACCATGTTATTTATCAGGTTTCGTGCCCCTCCCACCTCTCCAGGGAGGCCCCGCCTGAGCGAGCAGGGTATTCGCACACCATGTTATTTATCAGGTTTCGTGCCCCTCCCACCCCTCCAGGGAGGCCCCGCCTGAGCGAGCAGGGTATTCGCACACCATGATATTTATCAGGTTTCCTGCCCCACCCATCCCTCCAGGGAGGCCCCGCCTGAGCGAGCAGGGTATTCGCACACCATGCTATTTATCAGGTTTCGTGCCCCTCCCACCCCTCCAGGGAGGCCCCACCAGAGCGGGAAGGGTGTTCGCACACCATGTTATTTATCAGGTATCCTGCCCATCCCACCCCTCCAGGGAGGCCCCGCCTGAGCGAGCAGGGTATTCGCACACCATGTTATTTATCAGGTTTCGTGCCCCTCCCACCCCTCCAGGGAGGCCCCGCCTGAGCGAGCAGGGTATTCGCACACCATGTTATTTATCAGGTTTCGTGCCCCTCCCACCCCTCCAGGGAGGCCCCGCCTGAGCGAGCAGGGTATTCGCACACCATGTTATTTATCAGGTTTCGTGCCCCTCCCACCCCTCCAGGGAGGCCCCGCCAGAGCGGGCAGGGTATTCGCACACCATATTATTTATCAGGTTTCGTGCCCCTCCCACCCCTCCAGGGAGGCCCCACCAGAGCGGGCAGGGTATTCGCACACCATGTTATTTATCAGGTTTCGCGCCCCTCCCAACATTCCAGGGAGGCCCCGCCAGAGCGGGCAGGGTATTCGCACACCATATGATTTATCAGGTTTCATGCCCCTCCCACCCCTCCAGGGAGGCCCCACCAGAGCGGGCAGGGCATTCGCACACCATATTATTTATCAGGTTTCGTGCCCCTCCCGCCACTCCAGGGAGGCCCCGCCAGAGCGGGCAGGGTATTCGCACGCCATATTTTATTATTAGGTTTCGTGCCGTTCCCGCCCCTCCAGGGAGGCCCCGCCAGAGCGGGCAGGGTATTCGCACACCATGTTATTTATCAGGTTTCGTGCCGTTCCCGCCCCTCCAGGGAGGCCCCACCAGAGCGGGCAGGGTATTCGCACACCATGTTATTTATCAGGTGTCGTGCCCCTCCCACCCCTCCAGGGAGGCCCCACCAGAGCGGGCAGGGTATCCGTACACCATATTATTTATCAGGTTTCGTGCCCCTCCCACCCCTCCAGGGAGGCCCCACCAGAGCGGGCAGGGTATTCGCACACCATATTATTCATCAGGTTTCGTGCCCCTCCCACCCCTCCAGGGAGGCCCCGCCTGAGCGCAGACAAGAAGCAATGGAACCCCGTAACATCTTTATGTGGGGAACTCCGTTAGCATAATCCCTGTGTGTTTTGTTAAGTTTCGTGCGTGGTTTTTGTTCGCCAGATGGTCGAGGATGCTCCTCGAAGGTTCTCGCCGAGAAAAAAAACATGCACGCGTCCGAGCGATGCCAGCCCCCGGGCCGTGCTGTCTCTTTCGCTGCGGCGGCGACGCCGCGCCATCGACACCGCAGCCAACGCATGGCGGTGCGAGGCCGCCTCGCCCAAGGGCCGACGACTTGGAGCGCGCGCTGCAACCAACTGACAGGCAAGGCCAACGGGTTGCAGCACAACCGAGAACGGAGAATGTGAGCGCACGGGCTCATGAGAGGGAGGAAATCAGCCCGCGCGGCAGCCTCCCAGGGGAAAGCCATCGAGCTCGAGACGCCCCAGATCGTCCGCACTCGGCCCCCAACATACAGGCCCCCAGCAATTTGAGGATCACTTCTTCGGGCCCACAAGAACTGAACATGTCAGCCCCGAAGAATAACACCGCTGCCTTCCACGGGTCTGCGAGCGCTCGCGCGTTGAGACACGTCGCGCCCTGGCGCGCCTACGGGAACCCTTTGGCGCGGCGAAACAACGAAACACAATGTGGTATCCCAAAACTCAATCGACATCGCCCGCCATGTTCGCAGTCGCGCCCCGTGCACACCTGCAGGTAGACGAGACCCTACGCCAAGCAATTAAACAATCACTTCGGCGATTCGGCTCTCCCCCCCGGCAAGGTGCGTCAACATTTGAGCCAAGGGCTCACGCCTGGTCCCTAATAGACGGCGCGCAACCTGCCAAACACTTTCCCCTGACAAGGGTCGCGATGTCGCCCCACGGACGACAGCGACGAAGTCGAGATGTCGGACGAAACCATTTTCCTTCAACAGGCACCCCAATACTCGTATCAGTACGCAATGCCCAAGACTGCACTGCACAGTAAGAACCTGTGTGGGGAGGGTTTGGGAAAAAAGAAAATGGTGGTGAGAGTGGTGAGGAAGGAGTATATGGTGTGGGTCTGGGGCCAAAACGGTTGCGACCATTGCTCGTAACCTTCAAGCTCCGGGAGTCTAGTACGTCATCAGTGGCAAAAAATCTCGGCCTCTTAACTCGAATCGCACAGCGCCACGACTAACAGTGAGCCTGATGGGTGTTGAATGCGATATCGTCCTCCTCCGAGCGAAAGTAGGGTAACCGAATACCTTCGAGAATAACACGTTTTGAGACCTCCTTGGCGTTTAGTCTTCATAGAAATATCCTCAACAATGGCTTATCTCGCTGGAAACATCCTCGACGAATCCCTTGTTTCGCTTGAGACATCCACAAACTATTGCTTATTTCGCTTGAGACACCGTCAAACTATTGCTTATTTCGCTTAAGAAACGTATCGTTTCGCTTGAGACATCCTTCAGTATATGCTTGTTTCGCTTGAGACATCCTCGAGTATATGCTTGTTTCGCTTGAGACATCCTCGGAATAGCTCATCCGCCTCGGTGTCCCTGGATAATCAACCGCGGCGATAATAAAGTTCAGGCGGGCGGAGGAATGGAGAAAGCGATATACAAAAACAAAAATAAAAAGAAACAATAAGAAATGAAAAAGAAAAGGAAAAACATCAAAAAGAAAAGAAAACAGAGGAGGAGGAGAAAGAGAAGGAAAAATCTCAAGTTCAAATGTATTAGATTTTATTTACAAGCGCTTTATGAAAATTAAAATTTTTAAGTGCTCGTGTAGGGTAGCTCATGTGCTTCATTTTCCATGGATAATCAACCCCAGGGATAAAAAAGTTCAGAGAGGGCATGGAGAGAGAGAGAGAGAGAAGAGAGAGAGAGAGAGAAAGAGAGATACATCATAAAGAAAAAAAAGAAGGACTTAAAGAGAGAAGATATATTTAAAAAGAAAAGTAGAATAATAAATGAAAAGGATAAAGAGAAGAGGAAAGGAGGATAAAACAAAAAAACTGATTCAAATGTATTAAATTTTATTTACAAGCGCTTTATGTGTTTAAGTGCTCGTGTAGGGTAGCTCACGTGCCTCGTTTTCCCTGGATAATCAACCCCAGCGATAAACAAGTTCAGGGCGCCAGGGGGAGGAGGAGGAGAAAGAGATAGAGAGACAGAGAGAGAGAGAGAGAGACAGAGAGGCCAGGAAGGAGAAAGAGATATAGAGACAGAGAGAGAGAGAGAGAGAGAAAAAAAAAAAGAGAGAGAGAGACAGAGAAAGAAAGAAAGAGAGACCTAAAGAACTACAAAGAGACAGAAGGATATTGGTTTCGCTTGAGACATCCTGAAACAACGTGTTCGCTTCGCTTGATGTTGTTATCTCAACATAAGAAGGAAGTAACTTCGATGGCGAACTTTTCCCGTGATAATGAAGTTCGGCCTCCGCGCCCCCGCGCCCCCGACCAAACTCTTATTGGTCGACGATAAAAAACTCTAACGACTTGAGGGGGGGGGGGGTACTTTATTCTCATCGGCATGCGGTTATGCGGGTGCCCGCCTTGTCCCGCCTGTCGCGATTGCATCACTCGGCATGGGGCGTCTGAACAGCACCAGCCTCGACCCACCCTCCTGCTGCTGGAATTGCCCCTGGGATTCGGTTCTGGAACGGCTCTCCAAGGGTCCCCCCGCCAGCCCTCGAGGGCCTTAGCTTCCCCGCAGAGACGCAGACGCCCCGAACGGAGCAGCGCGCACTGAGCCGCGTTGGATTTCGCAGGTCAGACTTGGTCACGCAGTCGACTGGGAGCAACGGGGCAGACATCCATCAGATCACGCTGCCGACCTTCTGCACGATGGCTCGAACGACAGCGACGTCGATCGCGGCCCTCCGATCCGGACTAGATCCATTGAACAGCTTGCTGGGAGTATCATGTACGCCTTTAGCACCCACTATGCTGAGGCTCTACATGGGCGAGCGAGGTATGAGCTGGCAGTCTTCCTTGAGGAGGGCCGCGAACGGGCCAACTTTGTTCTGCCGCGTCTCCGAAACGACGTCGCCTCTTCCACGTCCTCAAACGCGGAGTGGAGCCACTGAGTCTCGGCGAAGGCTCCAGGGAGAGCGAAGGTTTCCCGGGCAAGGGTGCTGGCCACCTGACGCTTGACTCGACATGCTCGCCAGGCTAAGGGGAATGACCCTCGTTCGCTGCCCATGCGCTGGAGCATTGTTAGCGAGGCACGGCTGGCAGGCCTGCTGCGGAAAAAAAGGCAGTCGTCCGAGCCCACGCCGCCGCAGTCGCTGGCCGTGGCGAAGATGCAGCGAGCTGGGTCGAACTTGGGAGTTACGACTGGCAGGCTGGCCGTGGACCTGAGGTGGTCCTACATCTTGCGAGCTCCAATGAGGTCACGAACGCACGGTGGATTGACCTTGGCAGCTAAAATAAGCGCACAATCAGCAGCCTCTGCCCGGGACTCTCGACCAACCCAATTCAGCTCGTACACCGTGCTGCGGAATTCCGCGGCCTCGACCCCAACCGGAGGGCTGGCGTGATCCCCGCGACGCCCGCTGGACATGGGAATCCTGTGAAACTGTGCCCATGTATATATATATATATATATATATATATATATATATATATATATCCTGGTTCACCAAGTTGCGTGGAGCGGTGGCCCCCCTGTCCTACTAGACGGAGTCCTCTACCTATGTATTCGGCCCCCTTTTCGTCATGCCGCTCCACTTTCCCGAAAGTGAAACGCTTCTTGAACACTCCTATACTATACACTTGTGTTAGTGTCCTGGAATGAACGCGATAGCCCGGTCATCAACCTCGAGCAGCGCCTGCGCGACTAGGCGACCGCGTTCCATCTGGGAGAACCCGCAGGGTTCCAGCTTGGCCCGGACGCAATCTTGCCCTCGAGAAACCTGGCCGAAGTCTCGCGAAAAAGCCAAGGGCGCACCATCGAGCCCGTAAACAAGGGCGACGAGCTCGATGAGAGCTCCAGCTGGGAGGTCGAAACCCTCGCGCGGCCCCGCGCAGACTCGCCAGCGCGGCCGCTTCAATGGGTCTGACTGGCAGAACGCGTTCTCGATGTCGCCCATGTGAACCTCGAGATCATGCATCGAGGCAGTGGCGAATAAAAACATCATTTTTCCATTGGTGGAGCGGGGGCGCACACCTGCAGCTCAACGCATCTTCGCCCTGGTAATCTCTCACGTGCCATCGGGATTTAGCTTCGGGCCGAGCTCCGACGCAGCCCCGCGGCTTCCACCCGCGGAACGTCCTTCTCGAGGCCGCGCGGCTGGGAAAGAGTTTCCCGGGCTGTCGCCCCTCGGCCTGAGCGCGCACTTTGAATTGGCGGCATCTATCCCCTTCCACTCTGGGGAGCCCGAGAAAACGAACTCTGTCTCTTCTTCAGAGGCGAGGTCCTCGAGACGGATGTTGCACCCCCGATTTACCGAGAGAGAGAGAGAGAGAGAGAGGAAAAAAAAAAAAGAAATAAATAATATCAATACATGAAACACTAGAGAGATATATACGTATATATAGAGAGAAAGAGAGAGAGAGAGAGAGAGAGAGAGAGAGAGAGAGAGAGAGAGAGAGAGAGAGAACAAACAAAAACAGAGAAAGAGAGAGAGAGAGAGAGAGAGAGAGAGAGAGAGAAAGAAAGAAAGAAAGAGAAAGAGAGAGAGAAAGAGACAAATAGAGACATAAATAAAGAGAGAGAGAGAGAGAGAGAACAAAAAAAAATAGAAAGAGAGCGAGAGAGAGAGAGAGAGAGAGAGAAACAAAACAAAGAAATAGTAAGAGAGAGAGAGAGAGAGGAATAAATAACTAAAGAGGAAACAACAAGCAAACAAACACACTACAACAGACCAAATCTCGCTCGGCACCCCTTCGCCTCAAGCACTGCCGTTGCGGCGCTGAGCACAGGAGCCACTCCGGCCCTCGTCTTCCATCGCCCCCTCCAGGTTCATAGGAATCACGACGCGAGTTCCTCGTCCTTCATCTCCAGCAGCGCGCCCATTTCCGCATCATCCAGCGCGCCCATCGATCTCGGCCCAAGGTCTTCGTCCATGGCGGACCCCTGCTCGCGCTCCGGGGGTGGTGGTCTTGAGCGCGCCTTGGATTTGGGCCCGATTCTCCCTTCCAATTCCTGGACTTGGGCTTGGGCTCTACCGGGTGGGGCCCCCCAAAACCCCCCTGTATTACCTGAGCGACGAATGCCTTGTCGCGTCGTTCCCATGTCCAGGATCCCATTCCGAAGAACAGTTCCTTCCATGACTGGCCTGGCCTATTGGATTCCCCGCCGGGCGCAGAATCGCCCGGGACTTGTCTGGCTATAGTGCTCTCGCCTGCGCGGGGGTCGGATGCCGGAGCTGTTCCCTCTGTCGCGCGCGGGACTTCGGCACCCAGCCGCCGCCCCCCCAGAAGCCTCCGGCGGTTCAGAGGAGGGGGGGGGGGGGGGGGGGCAGGCGCGCGATCTCAGGCCGTGCCCACAGACAAACGAAAAATGGCTGCTGCCCACTCGGGATTGACCCCCGCGCACCAGCGCGGACGATCGCCCTCGCCTGCGCCCCCCTCTTCCGTGCTAACCTGTCGAGAACGCGATCGATCGGCCGAAAGGATTGGCGGTCTGGCGTTGCTCACAGGTCCCGCGGATCCCTGGCCGACGGCATCCCCTTCCGGGATGGACGGTGAACCTGGCGGCCCGGTCTCTGAACGCCCCCCCCGACCCACTCGACTGGCCTGGCGGAACAAGCGGAGCGTAAAAGGGCGAGACGTCGACATCAACGCTGCGACCTGGCCCCCAGGCTTCCCGCGGCGGAGGCCCCTCGGCCGCCGCGCTCGCGCCAGCCCCGGCACGGCCCGCCTGCGCCTCTCGAAAGAACTTCAGCACCCCAGGGCCGGACGCGACCTCAGCTCCTCGGGCCCCTGGTGGCGCCGCCAGTCCCACCTGCTCGGATGAGCTCTTCCAGGAGCGATTTCGCATGGCGACCCACGCGGCCCCCCCAGACTGGATAAGGACGAACCCGGCCGGGTCCAACCCACCGGTCGCGCTGCAGCACGCAGGTTTCGTTCATGGCGGGGGCTGGGCGCCGCGCGAAAAACCACTGGCCAAGGTAAACCCAGAAGTTGTTATGGGCGTTGTCCTTAGCAGCTTCCGCCAACTTCCGCTTGCTCGAAGAGCGGAACAGCTCCTGCCTCGCCAGATCTCGGATTGCGCGCTGCCTGGAGTAATCTGCCGCCGCCGTGTCTTGGCCTCTGGACTAAATCCCCCTCTCCGACCTGTCTCGCGCCACCGTCCGAGAGCGCGTCACTGGGCAGTTTTGGATTAATCTTATGCGCGAGCTGGAAAGGAGCGCGGCCCTCAACGAAGATAGCGGCCCCTGGCCGCGACGACCTCATGGATGGGGGCTCTAGATCAGCCCGGGCGGCGATCAAACTGCACTCCGACGCCTGGGGAGAGAGAGAGAGAGAGAGAGAGAGAGAGAGAGAGAGAGAGAGCTTGTGCGATCCACCACCCATGCCTTTTGGCCCTTTCGTTTTCCCAAGGGGGTTCTCCGCGCCGATGACGTGCTGAAGTGCTCCATGATGCTCCAGCTTACGCTCAACATGGGCTTTGAATGCTGGTGCCTCATCAGAGAAAATCATTGCTGGAGGCATCAAAGGCCGGGCCTAGCCCCTATGAGACGCCCTCCAGGCCCCTTCGGCAGATCCATCAAAACTCTCCACGATGTGAAGATTCGTGCCGCGGCAAAAACAGCTTAGGACTGGAATCGGTTCCTTGTCTAAACTAAGATAGAACATGTCTTCCGCGATGGCCAGGCTATGCTAGAGCGTTCGCGCCGCGGCCGCGGACCCATACCCCGCGGGCTCGACATGGGCCTGACAGTCGGCGCACCCACACTGCTCTCGAATGCACCTAACAACCCCAGGGCGGGCGCGTGCAGCTCTGAGAACCTTCAAGAAATAGCATTACGAGGGTGACCGAGATTGACGTGCACTTCGTGGGTGAGACGCTTCAAAAGGGCGTTTATATCCACTTCGTGCCCCTCAGACCCCCGAGCAGAGTCGGGATGCTCGACCTCCCCTCCCCCTTCGGTTTCCACCTCGACGCCCCCCTGGCGATTCAGTCGAAATTGGGGAAACTTCAACCCCGGTTCGGCATGTCCCAAGATCCTCCCCACAGGCGTCAGCCATCTCCTCGACGGTGACGCGGCTGTCATGGTCCCGCGTGCTCCTATGAATGGCAGCCGCAAGCGACTGACGCAGCTTGGGGGGGGGGGGGGGATCTGAAATGTCCGAGCGACGCGGCCCCGTTCCAGAGGGCTATGATCGCGTCAACCCTTGCACCGCCGTCCTGACGAGCGTCGACAGGGAGAGAGAGAGAGAGAGAGAGAGAGAGAGAGAGAGAGAGAGAGAGAGAGAGAGAGAGAGAGAGAGAGAGTAACAAAAAAAAAAAAAAAAAAAAAAAAAAAAAAAGTGTGCATCGGTCATAATTCGAATCGGCTTACGAGACAGATCACCATTCACGACTGACGATCCAAACTTGCACTGGCCAACGACCGCTTCCTGAACTCCAGGGAGCTTCCGGGTCGCCTCGACCACGCAAGCGCGCTCTGAGGCCGCACCGTTCGGATGTTCAAAAGCGAAACGTCACCTCTCCTGGACCTGGGGCAGCGCGACTTCCATGCAGCAGCCGAGGTGCCCGAGGGCTTCCTCCATTCGTTGCTTCTGAACCTCTGGAGGGTCTCGAAACGAACCCATGGAAAGGGCCCGAATCGGACTGAACTCGGCACGCGGGGGTCCGAAAAATGACCATCCATGGCTTTCCCTCGCGAATGAGGGAGAGAGCGCCCCTGCTCGCTTTAATTCTTGCAATCCCATCCCGCGGCAAGGTCGAGACTGCCGAGCACGCGCAGCCCGTGCCTTTCCAGCAAAGGATCCACTCGGGGGGAAGAGAAGATTTCAAGGAAAGACCTCGACCGAGGTCAGAGGGGCCCCGGCGATCGCCACGCATAGCCTGGAGCTGTCTCCTCTCTTTGGTAGGGGCCACCTCGCGATCATCATTGTCTCGACCCCCAAGGAGGGCTCTGGCCCATGGCGGCATGTGAAACAAAAATGCCCCGGGGCCGGCCCTGGACAGAGGCGCGACGCCCAGAGACCAAAGCGAATCCAGCGCATGGCGACGCCGCGCGGCGACGCCCAAGGCTCCTCGGGGACGCTGGAATGGATATCCCCCTGGTATGAGCCAGATTCTTCGCCCGAGGCTCCTGGGAGATGCCCTCGCTCGCGCCTGGCCACTGTTGCGGTGCGTCTTCCAGCCGGCCTCCTTCCACTCCTTCTGCTGCTCCTGGCGCCTCATCTCGGACGGCATCGCCTCCTACGTGGGATCTGGCGCCCATGGATCTCCAGACCTCGCAGGAGGCGCGTTCTTGCCCATGGTGGCCCCCTTGGCTCAGGGCCCCGTCGCTGCCTGCGGCTGTGCCGCCGCGGCCCCAGGAATCGAGCGTCTGGCGCCCGTCGCCAGCGAGCCCGCGGAACCGATCGCCACCAGGCCGGACGCGAAGAGGCGGCTCGAGGGGCCCCCTTCAGAGGGGGTGCGGCCTTTGGAGTCTCGGGCGAGGCCGCTGCTGTCCGCGGTCCGCATGTCGGGCGGGCCCCCAGGGCCGGAGTCACGGTCGCCTGCGGCGCCCCTGCGTTGGCCGCCGCCTGCTCGCGCAGCTTTGCCCGAGACGCCATCGCCGGGCTTCTGCCCGCGAGAGGCGCCGCCCCGATGCAGGCCCGCGTTGGCGGATTCGCCCTGGGAGGAACTCCCGCTGCCCGGAGGGCGCGCGTCTGCGGCTGGGGCTCCGCCAGCCGCTGAACCGGCGACGAAAGACATCCCGCCTTCATTGCCGACGCCGCCGGCTGCTTCTGCTGCGGCCGACTTGGCGCCCATGATGCGGAGACCTCTGCCTTCGTCGGCGAGTCGGCTGCAGCGGCTGAGATTCTGCCGGGCCCGCCTTGCTGCCCAACCAGCACTCCGCGATGGTCCCGATCAGACGACTGGCCTCCTGAGCCTGATCCTGAGCGGTGGCGATCGCCGTCGTCTGCCCTTTCGCCGCGCGCGTCGCCCGGTCGAGGCCCTGTATTTGAGCTGCCTGAGCGGCTGCCGCTCCGTGGATCATGATCTTCACCTCGTTCAACTAACGCTCCACCAAGTCCTTCACGCCATTATCGGTATTCTCCTGTTGCGCCGTCATTTCCTCGAGCTGATCGCCACCTGCTGCGTCCATGGCCTCGCCATCGCTGTCCTGGCGGCGCTTGATCGGCGAGGCTATCCGATCCGCTGCCGCTGCTGCCCTGTGATCTGCCTTGGCCCGCAAAAGAGCAGCCGCGGCCCTCGTCGCGCCCGCCGCCGCCCGCTGGCGCCCGTGCTCTGGGGCCTGGAATAGGCCGCTGCCCGCCATTGCGGGTCCGCGCCCGCCTGGGCCCATCCCTGTCCACGCAGACTGCAAGCCGCGCTCATGTTCTTGCATGGGGACATCTAATTTTCCTCCTTGATCATGCCCTTAGTAGGCTTCAGCCGGAAGCGCATGGCCCCCATCGCGCGCGCCCCGCATGCAAACCACTTGCCGAACGAGTTGGCCCCGTAACTCACCATTGCAGGGGGGCGCCGGCAAGCCCCAAACAGTTCTGGAACGCGACGGAGTGACCACGGGGGGTCGGCCCGCCAGAGGCGACGATTGCGGCGAAAAAACTCCGAATTCCTCGGCCATCATGCGCGCCCAGTTCCTCGTGCAACCGGCCATTCACGCCCACCCCCCCTCGGCCTTGGCGAGGTTGCCCGGGGCGCAAGTACCTCTCGCCCCGTAGTCCCACGCGGAGTCCTTCTGGTCCTGCATGCGATCCGTCATGGTATTGGGATGCCCCGAGGCCCTCGACGTCCCCTCTGGCCTCCCACGCGCCTCGTCGACGAAGCCAGTGGCGACGCTTCCCCCGCGATGCCGAGAATCTGAATCTGTTGGCTGTCCTCGTCTTGGCCCGAGTCGGCCATCCCCAGCTCCGCGCTGCCGCGCACTGGCTGGCCCCGAAACGTTCCGCCCTGGATTTCACAATCCTGGCGGCCTCTGAAAGGCATGCTCCCGCGGGCGCGGCGCTGGAGATGCTGTCTGACACTTGGGGCCTCAGTGGCTCGCCTCTTGGACCTAAGCCTTCTGGATCCTCGAAGGCCCCGACGCGGCCCCTGGACATCTGGAGTCCTGTGCGTGCGTTCTCGAAGACAACTGAAGCGCCGATTTGATCTTCTGACGCCTCGGCCCCGGGGTCGCCCCAGTGGAAAGCCCCGAGATGCTGCGCGCGGCCGTCTTCCCCCTCGGAGTCCTGCCGGCTGCCTCCTGACCGAGGCCGTCCGTTGCGGCGTTGCGAGGAGATGCGATAATGCGCCCCCCCCCCCCCCCCCCTCGGCTTGATTCGCGCCCTGAGACTGCTGCGGATAGGCCCTGGACATCGAGACGGGCACCTCGAAGTCCTTCGCTGGAACACAAAACTCGTCGACCTGGATGCCGCGGCGAGCCGAAGGGAGATGCGCAAGGGGCGCGATCGCCCCCGACCTCTTCGACGTCAGGCTCTTCCCCGGCAAATCCACGATCACTCCTGGCACTCCTTGAAACCCAGCTAGCAGCAAAGGAGACAGTCTGGCGCAGAGGCGTCTAGCTCCAGCGCCCCCATGCGGCCTTCAATGCCCGGCGGAATCAGCGCGGCAGGGAGGACTCGCGCCCCTCCACGCACTACTCTCGCGCTGGAATTCCGGGGGGGGGCCCTGGGAATAGCGAACCCCTTTGAGGCCCAGTGCTCCTCGATCTGTCTCAAGAGTCTCAAGGCTGGCTACCCGACGAGACCTCGACCGGCGGCGGCGCCCACCGCCGCGGGCCCGGGGCCCGCGGCCAAAAGAGCCGCGGCATAAGCGGGGGATGGGGGCTCGTCGGAGCACTAGGGCGGGGTGTGATCCAATGCGTTCACGCATGAAAAGGTCAGTCCTGTCGTCCGAAGCTGTTCGTCTTTCGCTCGCGCACCCTGGCCCGACCTGTTCGGGCGCCCCCGCGACCGGCGCCCCTGCTGGCGACGCAGGCGCAAGCTCCGCCAGGCTTGTGGTGGGACTTCCTGTCGGTCCTGAGCTGCCTCCTCTTGTCTCGGTTCTGCTTCCATGTCTTCCGACGGTCCTGGTTGACGGCGGCGAGCGCGGCTGGCGCGTCGTCCTCGCCGGGGCCGGCGGACTCCGGCATCGCCCAGACCTCTGCCTCGCCGTCGGAGCTCATGGAAAATGCGTCCGGGTCGTTTACCAGTGCGCTTTCCCCACCGTCGACCTGAAAGGATGGAGCTGCAGGAGGTCCATCCTCCTGTCCTGAACTCATCATCGCGTAGCTCCTCCTCACCTTGAGATGCTCACGACGGGAGATGTCCATGTCTCTGATCGCAATGAGCACCTCCTCGTGAGTCATCTGATCACTCATGAGAACCATCGCCATCTGGGCCGGGCGCTCGCCCGGCGAAGCGCCCTCTTCCAAGAACAGCAGTTTCCATTCATTTGGAAAAAAACAGTCCCTGCGTGGCCAAGCGATCGAAGTTGGCATCCAAACGAGCACAGCCTCCGTGAGATTCCCACCGTGTTTGCGGGAGTAGTTCAAAAGGCACTCGCGAGCCACCTTGCGTCTCTCGTCGCCATGTCGTTCTCCAGACATCAAACCCGATCGAGAGATAAGCCCGTCATATCTCGATGAATTGGCCAGAATCTCGTCGTCGATGTCCTTGGGCTCTCTCTCTCTCTCTCTGCAGCTCCTGACAGGGGACACAAACGATCTGCTTGCGCGTGTTTAGGAACAGGTGTCCGTGTCGGCCAGCGGTGCACCTTGCGGCGCCACATACGATGATCACTCCAATTTGTCCACTTCTCCAGATCAGCGAAGTCATTGCCGGAAAGCTCGCCTTCGTATCCGGAGTCGCGCTTGGTGTTGGATCATACTCACTGGGCTCTCAGTCGTACAACGGCTCCATCTCCAGTCTGTTGATCCTGAGTGGCCATCATTTCAATCACTCCGAACCTGTTTGCCCACGAGTGCCCTGTCGAAGCCAACGTCCACGGCTGGCCCGGAATTGACGATGGCTGTTCAGTTCTCCAATCTGACCATGCCGTCGGACTCGCTTTGACCTGGCTGTCCGTGGGAGGGGACTTTGACGTTTTCTGATACGCTCAGATTCTCTGAGCCCCGCTAAAGGCTCGCAGAACTGCCCGTTCCCGAAAAAATGACGTGCCAACTTGTCCGCTTCGGCCTGGTCGAAATTAGGACCCCCCCTGCTGCAACGGTGTCTGCCACTGTTCGTACCGCCGCGAACTCCCCGTGTCTAGCCTGCGAAGATGACCGTTTATCATCCTGTTCCGCTGCTGCTGTCGTCGGTCCGCGAAATTGAAGCTGCTTACAGCTCCGCTACCACTGTCGCCGCACGGACGACAACGACGAAGTCGGGGTGTTGGACGAAACCCATTTCCTTCAACAGGCACACACATACTCGTATCAGTACGCAGTGCCCAACACTGCGCTGGATACCAATAGTAGATATGGGAAGGGTATGGGCAAGCAACATGGTGGTAAGAGTGACGGGGAAGGAATATATGGTTAGGGTCTTGAGCCGAATCTGTTACGACCCTTGCTCGTGACCCTCAAGTTCAGGGAGTCTAGTATGTCATCAGTGGCACAACATGTCGGCCTCTAGACTCGAATCACACAGTGTCATCAATGACACAAAATGTCGCTGCAGAAGAGGGCCTCCAAAGGCCGCCGAAGACCTTCGACGAGAACCCCGACGACTCGGTTGCTCCTTCTGGGGGCCTTTCCTGAACACTCGCTCCACTCATGCGTCGATGCTGCGTCGAACCTCCGTCGGCTTGGGCTTGACGTGAGTCTAAAGTAAATCGAATTTGGGTCGAGCCTAAATCGAGCCAGACTCGAGGCAGGGTCGAACATATCCGTCAGGTGGGCCCCAGGAAGCTCCCCCAAAACGAACACCTGAGAAGATGACGACGACGACGACGAAGACCCCTCCACGGATCCACCATGAGGAACTCTGCAGATCCCCGATCGATGTCCGACGACCCCAGAAGCCCGAGGCGGGCCCCCGAGAGGCGCACGTCGCCAGAGAACCCGTCCGACACTCGAACCTCCACTGATCGAGGAGGAAGAGGAGGAAGAAGAAGAAGAAAAAGAAGACGACGACGACCGCGACCCAACACCCCCACCCAGAAGAGGCGCGGGCCATCAGCCACCACGCCCGAGGGCGACGAGACCTGGGTGTTCACGCTGCCGTCGTACCTGCAGGGCGCACAGGGACGGGGAGAGAGCGAGTCCTCCGCGTGCTGCGCATCCCTCCTCTTCCTCCTCCTCCTCCTCCTCCTCCTCATCGTCGCCTCCTCCTTCTCCTCCTCCTGCCACATGAATCAGGGCCTGTTGCGTTATACCCCTCCTCCTCCTCCTCCCTCTCCTCCCTCTCCTCCTCCTCCTCCTCCTCCTCCTCCTCCTCCTCCTCCTCATCCTCATCCTCATCCTCATCCTCATCCCCTCCTCCTCCTCCTCCTCCTCTCCTCCTCCTTCTCCTCCACCTGCTTCTGTCTCCTTCCCACGATCCTCTCTTCTTCGACGTGCTGCCAGGCCGCCGCTCCAGCCAGTAGCGCATCAGCCCAGGATCCTCCTCCTCCCACTCCTGCACCTCGCCGTCCCCCGCCTGCTCCTCTTCCTCCTGCCCCTCGTCGTCGTTGTTGTCGTCCCCATCCTCCTCACTCCTGCTGGGTGGGAGCTCCACGCCGCCGCGGCTGTAGACCCGCCTTGGGGAGAGCAGGTGTCCAAACCCTGACACCAGGCTCTGGACTTGCAGTCCCGCACCAGTATGGGGGTCCGCTGTGAGAGTGGAGCAGGAAGAGGAGGAAGACGAAGAGGAGAAGTAGAAGTCCGATAAGGACAGGAGGAGAAGCAATATGAGAGGAGGAGAGGAAAAGGAAATTGAGGAGGAAGTAGAGGAGGGGGATGAGGATGAAAGTAGTAGAGGAGGAGGCGGAGGACGAGGAGTAGTAATAATGTAATAATAAGAAACAGGAGGGAACAGCTCAGAAGGACGAGGAGGAGGAGGAGGAAGAGGAGGAACATGAAAAGAGGATGACGGCGATGACGCGGCCGTCATATGGGGGTCCGAGTTGCGGCCGGAAAGCAGCTGCAGGTCGAGGGCCCGGGAAAGCATGGTTTTCAAGGCAGCCGACCTGTTCGGAGAGACCCAGATATACTTGGGCGGTCAAAGGGAATGTGCCAAGCCTCCTCGACCAGACGTTGCTTTTCGCTGGGCGCTACAAGGGCCGTTGGAACTGCCAATTTAAACGCCCGAAATGGGTACGGAAAAAAGGGGTACAATGCCCAACAACAAATGTTGTCCCAAACAAACAGCAACCGCTGTTGGGCAGGCAGCCTTCTGTCTCAAATAGACACATGCCGCGGCGGCGCGGACAGCGAGTCCTATTCAAAATGAACAGGAACTGCGGTTGGGCATTGTACCAATTCTTTCCGTACCCATGTCGGTCGTCCCGAGCCAATGGGGGTGCACCAGAGAAGGCCGGGAAAATCTCACCTTGCACTTCTGCACGCGTCGATCGCTCCTCATCGTGCTCCAGTTTGGTATATGAGCTGTCTGGCAAAGCAACTACCGTTGGTAAAATAACAACGCGGGGCGGGTGATACCAGTCAAAAAAACGGCAACGAACAACCCGCACCACGTCCGTTCTTCGGCCGTGCGTCTTCGCGAAGCTCCGCGACAATAACCTCTTAGCTCAGGAAGTCTCTTCATCACACGGCGTGGATGGAAGGGTCTCCCTAGAAGGCCCTCAGCCGCACCACAACGCCCCGCACAGAACGGCCAAGAATGGGCATAAGACGCCCGAAAGACCGTTTCAAGACGCTCCCAAGACTGCACCAGATGGCGACATATAATTTCACCACCCCCTCAAGGACGTACAACGACCTCTCACTCATTCCAAAGCGCGATGCCATAAAAACTATGAAAACCGAGGCAGCGTGACTCAAAAGCAACGCGGCTTTCAACTGCCCTACCCCAGGTTGTGGACCTCACCCTGAAAACGCCTCTCGAGGAACCAGCGAAGCTTTCACCCGACGTACTGGCCGCGTCAACGAATGAGTAAAACACTGAGAAGTCGTGAGGAACTGCGAAACATAACAGCGAATGGTCGCAATTGCCGCCATCCTGCTGGCTACCGATAGGCCCGCAGAGCTACGGATCTGTGCGCTCGCCGGGCGGGAGGACGCAGGACAGGGGACAGAGGACACTCGAGAGGACAGGGGGCATAGGGCCATGAATCAGTCGCGACAAGGAACAGAGGGTAGCCGGGAGGACGGCAACGCGGTGCTCACAACAGGCCACTGGGCACAAAGGGGCACCCTGCCAAGGCCATGACAAGACTCGCTTGCCCTCTTGACGTCGCAGCGCCGACAGGCTCAGGGACCCCCTGCTCTCGGCCGCCCCGCTCGGGGCAGCCCCCTGCCAACAACGCGCGAGGCGAGGCATCGCAGCTGGAGCGGAGGACCGTCGCTCGCTATCTAGGCTGCCCAGCTTCGCGCCCAGCGAGGCGCGAAGTTCGCGGCCATCCTCGCAACCCCGAGCCGCCCCCCCCCCCCCGCTCCTCCGCTGTCCACGATTCGCCGATTCGGAGATGCCCTCCAGAGGATCTCGGGGAGAGCTTCATATGGACACCTCCCCGCCCCCCGAGCGTGGGAAGCGACTTCGGGCGTTGCTGGAACTGGGTTTAGTGGGACCTGGTTTAGTGACGAGTATAGGATAAGGGGGACGTCTCCACACATGCCCACTCCACTCATTGACCAGAACTGCTGCCAACCGAAGGAACACGAATAAACGGCAGACTGGGCTCAACAATTCTGGAGCAACTTGTTTGGGCTCCGCGGCCAAATCACAAACCGACACGTGTTCGACCATGGACCCCTGGTTGCCCATCGCTCTTGGGCCTTCTTGACCAGTCTTCGGCGGTCTCAAGCAGTCTCCGGCGGTCTTCGGCGGTCTTCTGACGGCCTTCGGCGGCCTTCTTCGGCTTCCTGCGGTGTTCGGCGCGAAAGCTGGACGTTTGCGGTGAACGAGGGGTTCATGATCGAACACCTTTTGACCAGCTCCCCCTCCCCTGGGGCCCTGAATATACCCCATGGAGGCCTCTTGGGCCGTCTTGGAGGCCTCTTGGGCACCTCTTCGGCACGTCTTGGGCCGTCTTGGAGGCCATCTTGGAGGCCATCTTGGGCGAACTGAATGGCCAGACTGGCTGTCTTGGAGGCCAGCATGGGCCACCTCGGAGCCGTCTGGAGCAGGACGGATCTTTGTTACCTCAGCGCCGGCGGCGTCGGGGGGGGCGCGAGAGCGGGCCGAGGCCGGCGCGCGCCCCCGAAGCGTGGGCGACATGTGGGCCGGCGAG